TTCCTTACAGAGTCCTAGCCATTTCACCCGACATCAAGAACATTGATATAATAAACATCAGGCAATCTCTTTAGCAAATTAAGGTGGGACTAAATATCGGCAAAGAGCCAAGTACGTATAATAGGCAATGAAAGCTTGAAAAGAAGACCGTTGCATGGGGAGGGGGCGGATATATTCTTCTACAGTACCGGAAATCTGTGTTCGGATGTTAACACGATGGGAGTGAAGGCGAGAAGGACCGGGAGAGAAACTGACCTTACCTATAACCTTGGTGCTATTTGATCTGACCTCATTTAATTGGCTTAAGTTCTATGATTGACAACACTCCTTGCTCCATGCAACAGCACACCTCAATACTTAACCATAACGGGCCTCGAGATAAAATCACATTATGCCTATGTCATAACATTGGCCTTTTACGTCCTTACAGAGTCTTAGCCATGGGAAACAGCGTGGATTGTTGTTACAACTCGCGCTGGTCTTACCAGTGCATTTTCCCTTGCATTCGTTTTTGTACATACAGTGGACGCCGGGTCTTTTACAACTATGACGGCATGGAAAAGGTTCAACCACTCGTCGACATTTACCACCCCCAGAAAAAGCCCGTTCACAGTCTTCCAGAAGTGTTTTTCGGAATTAATGATGACCCCGAAATAAAGAAACAACTGCAAGGCCCTGGTGTGTACACAAATATTTCTAAGAGCTAAAAGAGTGAACTGTGATCGAGTGAATGAGAAAGTGAGACCAACAAACTTGAGAACAACTAACTGGTGCTTTAATGACTGACTGACTAGCTCGGAGAACTCATGTTGAAACATACATATATCATAATGCCACCCTGGAAAATTGTCTCCTAACACAGGCATATGGAATTGCTGAGGGTGAAAAAGGCTGAAATTAATTTAATTCATCTGACTTTCTAATTACACAGGGCTTGACGGTGCTGGTCAGATCGCAGCATTGTGCAAATACGCAGCAGACAATGGCTACACCATTCGCGCTGTGGGAACAGGTTCCTCTTGGTCTCGTCTCACCCACACTAGAGACATACTCGTGGTCATGACAGATTTGAACGAAATAATAACGAAATCGACGGATTCACAAACAGAGGATTCAGAAGCGGAATTGACGGAGCCGCAATCTGAAGTCGAGGTACAGGCCGGAAAACTCGTTGTAGATTTTGTTGAGGAACTGCACAAGGAACGTAATTTGGCGCTCAAAATGATGGGAAATTATGCAGGCCAAACGGTAGGAGGAGTGGCGAGCACTTCCACTCATGGATCAGGATGGTTCAGTGGAACGATGGTAAGATTAGTCGTGCTGATGGAGTAAAATTATTTCGTTAAAGTAAAGAGGGTGCTTCTCCCGCTACGTTCTCGGCCATCTTGAGAGGAGCAGATCAGGTCTATTTGCTTTGAACGAAATTCAGCTAACTGCCTCATGGTGGAAATGTTTAAGAAGGCGGCCACACGACAAATGATTAACAGTTTTGACACAGATTGCAATAGATGAACTTTAGAGACTTAGGCTAAATTATCCAAGATCCAAGTTTTGGTAGTGTTCTAGTCACGTGACATTCACATGGCAACATGCGTACAAATACAAAGCGTAAGTTATAAAAATTTCCGAGTTACATCTTTGAGACAATTCGACGGTTATCTATAGCCTAAATTTCTCAATGATGGTTATCAAGGTATTTCTACGACCAAGGTTTCCCTCCTCTTCAAAGGGAAGAACATGTCAGAAATTCATTCGGGTAAAAAAACAAATTAACAATTTCTGTCTCCTTTCCAGTCCACTTTAGTAGTTGGTCTTCATTTAATCGTACGTGGTGGAATCCAAGTGAAGGTACGTAGCGGCCCTGAAACCATTGAGGACTGCAAGGCAAAGATTGACAGGGCCAAATATGGAGAAGACCCCATCGAGATTAACAGTACCGATGTGTTAAGGGCATGTCAAGTAGGCTTAGGAAGTATGGGGGTAATATATTCCATTACATACAGCTGTGTTCCCATGTACTATCTAGAGGAAACCAGAAAAACGGTACAGGTCTCTTGGCCTATACTGCGGGCGGAAGACAACGAGAACGACGACGAAGACGATGCATTGATGGCGACGAATGATATCGGGGTTGTGCTTGAAAATTTTGCTAAAATGTACAAGGAAAAAGATGCAGAGTATTTCTCTTTTTTCGTCAATCCATACCCAGTAGGGCCAAGGTAAGGCTTTAGGGTTATTAAGTGGAGAAAGGACCAGTCCTTTAAAACGAACGTTATAGAACCCGTGCGAAACATGAAAGTAATAATTGAAACTTGCACACTAGAACTCGACTTTGATTAATCTAACCAACTTACTGAATCCCTCAAAAAAATGTGATTATAGGAAGTTTTCACTTTTCAAAGTTATATAACTTCATGTCTATTCCATGTTAGTGGGGGTAGAAGAAACGGTTATGGTTGTGGTGGTGCTGATAGCAATGCTGGTGGTAGTTATGGTGATGGTGGCGGTATTTATGATGGCAGCGGGGATCGTGACGTCGAGAGCAGAGGCGATGTGATAGCGGCGCTGAAAGTCTTAAAAGACTCAATATATTTCAAGGAGCTAAGTTTCTAAAGAATCTGTGGTGCTGCGTCGGTGGGGGTAACAAGGTAATTTGGTTTTAACAACATAGTTGAAATTATAAATTGGCAAACGAAAAGAGTTAAAAAGTTGACGTTTCGAGCGTTGGCCCTTCGTCATTCGCTCTGACGAAGGGCTAATGCTCGGAACGTCAGCTTTTAAACTTTTTACGTTGGCCAATTTACAATTTCAACGTAGTTGATAAAACCAATTACGTTAGTATATTTCAGTCCAGTTTAGGTCTCTCTTCGTTACTCCTTTCTCCTTTTAAGGTAGCGATGAAGTCAATAAACTTGTTATTTCCTTGCTCCTTCAGTAATGATAAGCATATCGAAATGGCTTACTTGTCAGCTCGCAAAACAGTTCCTCATAAATCAACCTGCTGTGCTTGTTGCTCATCTGATCCAACTTGCTGTGCTTGTTGCTCATCTGATCCAACCTGCTGTGCTTGTTGCCCACCTCAACCAATCTGCTGTGCCTGTTGCTCATGCTGTTGTAATTGTTGTGGAGGAAGAGGATTAGCGGACCTTGGCTGCGTGCAGACTGACTGCACAGCTTCTTGCCTCCAGGGATGTGCCAATTGTTGTCCCACTTGTATTCCGCGGCTCACCAATTTCGGTGTGTCACAGTTTTCGTTCAAAGAAGGCACGACGTATGTGCAAACGTGGTACAACGTGCTGCAGTTCACGAAAGGCAATATCCAGTAAGTTAAATCACTCACTATGTGAAACTTCCTAACTGTCATCTGCACAAACAGCCAAGTGAACCGATTGAGCGTAACTTAACGACAAAATTTTGTCTTGCTGTTTCTTTTGCAATTTTAGCATTCGCACAGCAGAATGGTGCTTACCGTATGAACACCTCCAAAGTGCCCTGACCATGGTGATAACACTGGCTCAAGATTACGCAAGAAAGCATAAACAGTATTCCTTGCTACCAATTTATGTGAGACTTGCGCAAACGGATGATTTGTTCGTGAGTCCAGCAAGCAAGTTTAGACCTGACGGAACTACCAATGATCACAACTGTTACATTGAGGTGAGAAAATAAACCTCTCAAGGAATTACCATAAAATGAGGCAATAGTAAGGATTGAGTCTCTACTTAATGCTTTTTTTGATATTTTTCTACCCAGATACCATTTCTCCCTGGAGCATACGGCATTGACGAGTTCCACGAGATGGTGGAGACCAAGCTCTGCAAAGAGTTCAAAGCAAGGCCACATTGGGGGAAGAACAATCGCTTAAACAAGTCCAAAGTCGAGGAAATTTACTGGAAAGAGAGTCTGCGCAAGTGGTGGAACGTGTACGAGATGTTTAACAAAGGAGGAACGTTTGAAAATCGCTTCACACATAATATGGGTTTTGCCAAGTTGTTCATTGATGATCCTATCGAAGAGCAGCCTTCGGCCTAACAAGTAACGCCTAATTACGCTTTTTTGTCGCTCTTAGGCCATCCTCAAATTTTTGTCATTTTCAAAAAAAAAGCAACGACGTAGTGGAATCATTTTCCACTTGTAATTATTATTTCAATCTGAGAAATGAGCATAGTAACAGCCGTGATGTTTGATAAATCCAGGACTTTCTTTTCCTTTTATTTATTTATTTATTTTTTTCTTCTTATTATTATTTTTTTAATCCGACCGACCGACCCAATATCAGGAAACGCATTCGACACTAAACGAAAAAAAATGGCGGGTGGCCCTGAGTATCACATAGATTCTTTCGTTCGTAGGAAAAAGGCGCATGAGATCATTGGTAGAAATGTAATGTCGGCAGTCGTTGACTGTCCTCAGTAAACAACGCCTGGAAACGAGAAACTAAGATGGCCTGGAAACGAGAAACTAAGATGTGTTAATCCAGAATAACTCAGGACTAAGAGCATCAAGATGAAACCGGCTAGTCAAATTGTTTCATTAAAGAATCAATTTCCAGAGAGTCTTCCATTTTAAACTGATGTAAACTGTCCGAGCGATTTATTAAAAATTGTAATTTGAATGAGCAGGCAGGATAATTCAGATCGATAACGGAATTCATCTTAAATGACTAGGCAGACCCTCCCAAATTTAGTTATGGTAGTTAAAACGAGTATTCCTTTTTCTTTGCCTAGTTAATCGAAGGCAGCCCTTTTTACCTAATTATTTTAAGGCAACCTTCTTTCTTCGCTATGTTATTCAAGGGCAGCGCTTTGGCCGAGTCACATTCGCGATACAAGAAACAAAAAGATTCGGGCGCAGCAAATTATAGTAAGTTAATCGCAAATAAGTCTTAGTCGCAGTGGTAACCACTGTTAAATGTTTTGTCGCTATTGGAGTTATAAAAAATTGTACACAAACCAGTGAGTCACTGTGTTTTAGGACTGTATAACTTTTTTGATTAAGCTTAAAACGAAATGTTAGTTACACGGATTACCCGTATTTAAGCATACTGAAAGTATTTAGTTTGGCATCCCGGCAGATGAAGATAATCACCTAGAGAAACAATTTTAATTAAAAAAATGTGACAAAATTTATTATCTGAGGGTTTACTTAATAATTTCCTTATTAACCTACTTCTTGAGAGTAAAATTTCAGTGTTTTACTAAGTTTAGACAGTTATGTATCTCGGTCTCAACTGCTGACCAGTCTTAGACTAGCTATATGGTTATTTGGGTGTCAGCAGTATTTTCAATAATTTGAAAACTGAAGTGTGTGTACTGTTTTCGAAGAGTCACAAGTTCTCCTCTTCCCTATCCTTGTGTTGTTATGAACGTTCCCCAAAGTCAGCTTGACAACAGCTGTTTCTTAAACTCCTTAGAAAATTTCCGCGGGAAATTAAGGAATTGGCGCTCATGGATCATGAAATGGGAGAACAGTTCTTGCCGGTTTTGGTGCTCACGTCTGGTTTCTGGTGTAGCAATTGTTACACAAGCAATTGATAGAGGAGTCTGGAGAAGCATGTTGCTCAGATCCAATGCGCTCGTTACATGTAATTCAAGTATTCTATCAGATCAAAATATGAAAAGGGCAGTTATGTTAAACTTCCCTGACACCAAGGAGCAGCTTTGATGTAAATAAAGATGGGGCAGTCGGAGTTCTTTCTTCCGAGTATACATACTTCACGTAAAAGGAGTTAATTGTGTCACAAGAAATAACACGGGCTTGAAACATGGAGGAACAATTAAAACTTCTCATGTTTGACTGGCCGTTTTCCTCGACACACTCACATTCCACAAATATTCAAAGTAATAAGCCCAGTAAAAACAATCCACGATAAAGCAGAGAAATACTACTCCTTATCCATGACACCCAATTCAAGGAATTGTTATTGTTGCCCCTAACAATTTAAGAATCACCCATCAATAAAGTCAAAATTTAAAATTCTCTGAAAATTAAAACAACTTGATCCTAAAACACAACACATTGCCATACACAATCCCTGCTATAATGCATGAACAATGCTTCCTTTACTTGGTTCTCTCCCGAAGATACTAAGTGTCTAAATCTAAACTGGCTTACAACTGTGCAAATTTGTGCATTTCTACATCTCAACTCCTATTCGTTTATCATATAATGACGACTAAATTGCATCACAAATGTCCTACAGTTTTAGTTAAGGAATAGAATAAGAGTTCATCACCCCGTTTCACACCTTCAATCGCAATTTTCTTCAAAATAACCTTACAGTGGCTGTCAAAAATTACCAAACCTTGAAGATCCTAAGTACTCTAAAGCTCTCCTAACACTTTTTCCCCGAAAAGATAAACGTGCAACATCTTCTCTTATCCCTTTAACCGTAGGAGTGACTACCAAGTAATTAATTTCTCCTTACAACGTCACCCCGCGACAAATGTTAGGATCCCACGACTAAACAAAATGATGCACCAATTAAAGAAGCTCTCAAATGCAAGTAAATTCTCCTGTAAGCACCTTGGGAAATGTATCGAGAGCAGTATGGAGAATGTGCATCCTGATGTTAGGGCGTGAAGGATTAAAATCATAACGTTATCCTCCAAACAGGTAAGGCAATTAGACACACTTGTCAGAAAAGGGCTTTGTCTAAACATAACACCAAATTCTTATAACTAACCTAAAAGAGAGCATACAGCCTTTACCATCAGATTGAAACTGACCACTCAGAAATGATTGACACCACTTGAGTCCTATAGCTAATAACATCATGGCTTTGCTGGGCATGCAATCCCTTTACACAAACCTGACTTGTGACTGCCAACTTATCACTTGACTGATGATGACAACCGCTCAAGTGGTGGAAACATCAGTAACTACTACTGAAAACAGTTCTTCTCAGAGCTACCCGCACCCAATCCGACAACACCATCACATGTTACTCCTGAGTTTAAACCATTTACAGTACAACATTTATAGCTCTGTAGCTATCATTCAGCAAACAATAAGTTTTCTTACCGAGGGCAAAAGCAATCCACCAAAGCCAGGAATGGACAAACTCTATGTCAACTGAAGATGAAGTTTACAAGACGAACACATTTTGAACCAAATGGAAATGTTTATTTTAAGTATAAAAATAAGGTCCAGGAGGATAGTTGAGCACAGAAGTTTCCGTCATTTATTTTACAATTACAATGGCACGGTTGAACACAAAAATCGTTTTAGCACATATCAAACATCTACATGTACTTCCTAAAATCATCTCATCAAAAGCACTGGTTAACCCCTTCTGATAAGTCGTTTTGTATCATTTCTCACCTTTAGTATAAGAATCCATTTGAGTAAGTAAAAGAAGGCTTCTTGGAATAAAGGACAAGTATTACTTATTGCCTGAGAGGGGGGGGGGGGAGGTAGGACGAAGGATTTTTGAGGAGGATCACGTGGTTTTAATGAAGAATGGGGGAGGAGATCAGTCGTCTCTAGGAGGGACTACAAAATTTTTTCTGCCAATGAGGGGAGGATCATTCGAATACTACAATGGTTTCTTATTAGAAAAATTTTATTTTGACTCGTCCTAAGTCATCCGAGCCCGCTCCCCAGGAGATACATAATGACCGGCCTCCAATGAAAAGTAGATCCAAGGCCAAGTATTTAGTTTTCATTACCTACCCCCCCACCCTTCCCCACTACAAACAATTTTAAGGGTTGAACCCTGTAATGTCTGAGGCCTGATTCAAATGCGGACATTCAAGTAGACATTTCAGTGAGTTGTTTACGAGCTGTGCCCCTGGTTACACATTTTTACAGTCACGAAAGTTTTAGCTTCAGCTAGGATTGTCGAACAAGATTTCATTTGTTATTAGCGGAACAAGGCACGAAAAACTTGCAATTATCGATCGGTTTTTGTTTAGCTTTCTTGTTATTTGTGATTCGGTTGTTATTTTGCTTTATTCAGCGGATTTATGCATTTAGTCTCAGGTCCTTGAAAATTTTTCAAATTCCTTGAAGATATGTGCAGATGAATGAAATTCGAAGTATTCTTTTGTTTTTGGTGTTGAAAGTGTAAGTTTCTGGCACAAATCGCGAAAGCGAGTTTTTCTTTCAAATCCCACGTCCGATTGTGATGTTTGACACGGGACAGAGAGCAATGTTTATTTCTTTCTGTTGGCTCCTATTTGATGCAAAAGGTCCTTGAATTTGAGAGCCAAAGTCGTTGAAAATGTCCCAAAAAGTCCTTGAAAGTCCTTGAATTGGGTTCCTGAAAGTGAGAAGTACCCTAAGTAGTTAACACTGGGTTCCTACAAGCCCACTAAGGAATGTCAGCATCTCAAGAGCAGACTGATCGACACCCAAGTTGAAAACATTCATAAGCAATGTCTCGCTGTCTGACCTAAGCACATGACAGTAGTCAGTTAATTTATTCAAAGCACGGAACTTAGGGTTTTCAAGGTTGCTCACAAAGCTGCAACTGAGAGAAGGGGTAGGAAGTGATAAGTACCTCAGCATTTTGGTAAGAACTGAAAGTTACTCTTAAGTTTTAATCAATACCAAGGAAGATCTAGTTCACGCGACCTTCCTATGAAGAAGTGCGCTGCAAATGTCTATAGCGGAGTAACACTTGCATTTTGGAGGAAATGCTACCTGGTTTATGAAGCAAAATAAGACGGTCAAAACACCAAACTCCGTAATGCTGCACATACTTATACTCGTTCAATTCAATTCAACTGCAGTTTTCAATTAATTTATAGTAATAGCTATACAGCTTGGCTTCTACCGCTCACAGATAGAAACAGCTAGTCGATCAAGCAAGGAGTAGCTTCACGCAGATTAAAAATCTTACAGGAAAACAACGATGGAGAAATAAAAATACGGTCGCTAGTTACAGCGATAAGAGTACTAAGATGAAAATCAAGACACTGCAATGGAAAGAATAGCTTCTATGAAAGAAACCAAATTAACCGCGCTACAACAAATAAATAAATTACTTAGCTAAATAGCTATAATATTGCAATAGATAAATAGAGCGGGAAAAATATGCAAATGCAAATATAATTAAGGCGAGCCGTTCCCGTGATATTTAGGCCATCAGACCAGTTAACTCGTTGTAGTTGTTCTGATGTAAATCCATTTCAAATTAGACACTGATCGGCGGACGGCAATTGCAATCAGCACAGGCGTGAGGTGACGGAATCATTCCATACCGGTGTAAAAAACGGTTTTTCAAAGGATATAATTTGGCAATCATTCTCAATTAATCATCGCTGTCAAGTTGAATCGTTGAAAGTATGTGTATATCTGCAACGTGGAAAGACTACTTATTGCTTCAGTGTCAAAACAATAATGTGGAAAGACCACTTATTGCTTCAGTTTCAAAACGACATCACAAATTTATGCATGGTTTTAAGTGCCCACAAATTAACCTAGAACTGAACACGGAAAACTTTTCTGGAATATATCACTGCGAGATTAGAAAAATTTCGCACAGAGACAAAAAATATGATTTTCTCTACGAGTTTGGGTGTCCTAAGGCTAAACAGTTTGGTATTCTTTCTCGCTCACGCGCCGATAGATGAAGCACCCTTTTTATTTCATTTCCCTCAGCAGTTCTGGTTGATGCCGGGTTGAGTTGGTGTGGTGTTGGTGATGGTAATGGTAATGGTGGTGACAATTGCGGCGGCCGTATTCGTCAAGGGATTTGTAGCAAAATTTGTGGTAATAGTGATGGTTGTGGAGATGGAACTGCTGCTGCTGGTGGTGGTGGTAGTACTGGTATTATTGATAATAGTTGGGGTGGTAATGATGGTGGTGATAGTGGAGATGACGGTAGTGTTTATAGTGCTCTTGGTTGTAGTACGGGTAGTGGGATTTGCATGCAATGGTGTCGTAGTAGTAGTGCTGCTAAAAATAATGGTAGCAGTAAAGGTGTTGGGGGCTGTTCTGCTGCTCATGATGGTAGTAATGGTTGTAATATTCCTAGTGATGGCAAGGGTGTGATAATGGTTGCGGCTGTGGGAATGATGGAGATGGTTGTGATAGTGGTGCTTGTGGTAATGCTACTGGTAATGTTGAAGATAGTGATGGTGACAGTTGTGGTGCTGGTGCTAATGCCGGTGGGGGTAGAAGAAACGCTTATAGTTGTGGTAGTGCTGGTGGCAATGCTGGTGGTAGTTATGGTGATGGTGGCGGTATTTTTGATGGTTACGTGGATTGTGATGGTGATAGAAGTGGTAAAGTGATGGTGGTGGTGAAAGTCTTCAAAGGCTAAGTATATTTCAGTCCAGTTTAGATCCTTCATCGTTACTCCTTTCTCCTTTCAAGGTAGCGATGAAGTCAATAATCTTCTTATCTCCTTGCTCCTTCAGGAATGACAAGCATACCGAAATTGCGTACTTGTCAGCTTGCAAAACAGATTCACATAAATCAACCTGCTGTGCATGTTGCTCATGCTGTTGTAGTTATTGTGGAGGTAGAGGATTAGTGGACCTTGGCTGCGTGCAGACTGACTGCACAGCTTCTTGCCTCCAGGGATGTGCCAATTGTTGTCCCACTTAGATTCTACGGATCACCAATCTCGGTATGTCACTGTTCTCATTCAAAAAAGGCCCGAACTATGTGCAAACGCGGTACAACGTGCTGCAGTTCACGAAAGGCAATATCCAGTAAGTTAAATCACTCGCCATGTCAAATTTTCTAACTCCTATCCGCACAAACAACCAAATAGACTAATATAATGACTTGCAAGGCGAGTCATTATATTAGTCTACTGGGAGACTAATATAATGCTCCCATTATATCCTCTACTGGGAGCAGGCCGTTAAGTTGATTCGTAATAAACCCGTGATGATAAATCAGATACGATGAATATATGAAGTTCATATATTTTGAACTGCGGTTATAGATACGTATGATGCACGATCCTCGCAGAGTAAGGATTGAGTCTCTGCTTCTTGCTTATTTAATCTTTTTCTACCCAGGTACCATTTCTTCCTTGAGCATACGGAGTTGACGAGTTCCAGGAAAAGGTGGAGAGTATGCTCTGTAAGAAGTTCAAAGCAAGGCCACACTGGGGAAAGAATAATCGCCTAAAGAAGTCTAAAATCGAGAAGATTTACCACACAGAGAGTTTGCACAAGTGGGGTGCCGTGTACAAGATAATTAACAAAGGAGGACCGTTTTAAAATCGCTTCACACATAATATGGGTTTTGCCGAGTTGTTTGATAATATTATCGATGAGCAGCCTTTTCGAGCAGTCTAATTACGTTTTATTTTAGTCGACTATTCCAGCAACACCATTAGCGATTTAGCAACAGTCAAGGGACGTGATTGAATCAGATCTCAACATCATTACATACTTTACATGTGAATCATACATTGTTGAGGTTAAATCAAGGATATTTTGCTTAAAATTTTGTATGGCTGTTTCCTTCATCCTCGTTGATCTCAAGTTTCTTTTTTTGATTCTGCAGAGTTTTAGCTTTTAAGACTTAAGAACAAATCTGTAAAAATGAAACATCGTGGGAAAAAGTCTGTAATACTGGATTTAGTTTGAAATAGAGAAATAAACATTTTACTCTTTTTTGAGATGTTTTTGCATGAAAACGAGGCCCCAAGCCTCGAACAAGCAGCTGTTGTTACCATGGCAACAAGAGTGCTGCAACCTTTAAAAAGGGCATTTTGTACATCCCCCCTGAGTGCCTAACTGCGTGCAAAATTTAAAGAGGGGTTGAAAATTTTCATTTCCCAAGATGTTTGATTCATACAGAGACTTGTACTTAACACTGTAGCGGCAAGGACCTCGATCTGCTTGCAACGGTAAAAAATCTTATGGATAGTATCACCACTATAAAGGCCTTTTCATTGTGCTACTGATTCAAAAGATTCCCAAGATGAAATTTGTATTGTCTTGTACCTCTAACCAGTAGGATCTCAGGAGGCTTAGAAAATACTACCGGCTAGAGGTACAGCCTGAATATCTACTTGACTTTGCTCAGTTTTTTACTATGGTTTGCTTCACATTTTACTTTCTGGCATTTCATGTTAATCTTGCACTACATTGCAATCACTTTTTTCAAGAATATATTACATTTAGTTATAAGCATTAAATCTAACTATTTATGGGGAATCAGCTGCGTCTCAAGCACATGTCAAGGTTCACCATTTGGGAGTAAGCAGCATTTGGCAATAAGTAAAGGGATTCTGATTGCTGTTCAAATAAGAATGTTTCATTCCATTTTAAATGGCAATTTCAATTGAAAAATATAATAATATATAGGGCAGACATAGGCTAGTCTCATTTATTTAATTATATAAATTCTATAATGAAAGAACATTTTATATTTCAAGAATACCTTGCCTGAGGGTTTTCCTACATGCTGTTAAATATCAATGAAAATTCAAATGGAAAATGTAAATTTGGTGAATTGAAATCATGTTATCCTATGACTACCTATAACTGACTTAGTATTTAAAACAATGTTTGGCCTTGACAACAAAAATTCTGATCAAACACAAATATCATGAAAGTAGGGACTATTCCATTCTGAGAAATTCCACTCATACTTATGCAGAATATTATATGACAAACCTCAGTATATCTGGTTGACATGTTCAAGTCTGAAATGAATTTCAAGTCAAATTGATCTAAAACTGGTTTCATTTGTAATGAAATAAATCTACAACCAAAGAAAATACAGATCAAACTAGTTTCAAATTTGTTTACTTCAAATTCATTTAAAACACAAAAGTGTCAATGATTTCAAACTTACATCACATGCATAGGCAGCCCTCTGGCTGGTGGTATTTTCTGAGTAATGCAAGATCTGAGTGATCCAAGATTCTACTAGCCAGAGGAACAAGACTGCAAAGCATGGAAAGATACCCATGGAATGACTCCACAGCTGTATAAGACTAACATAGAATGTAGAAAGGTTTTCCATAAATAAAAAATGAGCTTAAAATTCACCAAAATGCCAGCTCTATGTCTAGCTTGTAGTATTTTCTAGGCCACCCAAGATTATATGGGCTAGAGGTACATGACTGAGGGACAAGAAGATATTCTTGAAAAAAGTGATTCCAGACTTGTAGTGTAAGACTAATATGGAATGCCAAAAAGTTAAATGCAAGGGAAACTGTAATAAAAATAGGGCAAAGTCAGTTAAAGATGCAAGCTGCACCTCTAGCCAAATATAGTATTTTTCTAGGTCCTTAAAATCCTACTAGCTAAAGGTACAAGACTAAAAAACAAAAACTAAATGTAAATTTATTCATAAAGAAAATGATTCCATGGAGTGCAAGACTAATTTGGACTGCAGAAGTGTTAAATGTGAAGCAAACCATGGTAAAAATTGGGCAAAGTTGCCTCGACGTGCAAGCTGTACCCCTAGCCGGTGTATCATCTAAGCCCACTAAGGTCTAACTGGCTGGTGACACATGATCAATCAAAAAATACTGATGTCATCTAGTTTTCTGAAAAAGGAGTGTAAGACTAATTTGAAGTGGAGAGAAGTTAAATGCAAAGCAAGCCATGGTAAAAAATTTGGCAAAGTGGACAAAATATGCAAGCTGTACCTGTAGCTGGTAGTATTTTCTAGGCCCTAAAGATCCTACTAGCTAGAGGTACAAGATTAAATTAAAAAAGAAACAAGTGTAAATGTATTCTTGAAAAAAGGGATTCTACTGTAATGCAAGACTAATATGGAATGCCAAAAAGTAAAATGCAAAGCAAACTGTTATAAAAAAAATTGTGCAAAGTCAACTGAATATGCAAGCTGTACCTCTAGCTGGTAGTATTTTCTACACCCCTTAAGATCCTACCAGTTAGAGGTACAAGACCAAAGAAGAAAGATAAATTTAAGAGTATTCTTGAAAAGGAAAAAAAAATAAACGATTGATAGGAGTGTAAGACTAATTAAGAGCACAAAAAGTAAAATGCGAGCAAACCGAAAATGGAGCAAAGTCAACTAGATGTTTAGGCTGTACCTCTAGCCGGTAGTATTTTCTGAGCCTCCCGAGATCCTACCGGCTAGAGGTACAAGTGTTGCACGTTCACATGTAACTCGCAACAAATTAGCATACATAGCTAATTTGTGCACGTGCATTTGCAATGTGCAGTAAATTAGCATATCTAGCTTGTTACTTAAGACTTTGACATTTCGCAATTAAAGGAATACTTTATCGAGAGCACCACGCCATCAAGACAACAGAAATTTCATCTTGAGGATCTCTCTAACCAGTAGCACGATGAAAAGGCCTTCCTAGTGGCGATACTATCCATAAGATTTGTTTACCGTTGCAAGCGCAAGTCCTTGCGGCTACAGTCATCCTCGGAGACCCAGGGTCTCCGAGGATGGGCTACAGTGTCCCGGCCGGACCAACACTCAGGGTCTTACAGTGAAACGAACTCAACCGGGGCCACCCAACGTTTTTTTAGCCAATTACAAGACAAGTACGGAACAAAAGAATGGGAGTTCGTTCACCAGCGGTCAAATTAAACTGCTCGTTTGACTGGAGTCGATGTGAAGACATGCGAAAGCTTCTAGTTTTTTTACGGTGAAATAAATATGTTGTTTATTTCGTTTACGGTAGAAGCGAATAAAAATTTACCGAATAGCGGCCGGTAATTTCGAAGACTGAACAGCCTCAACGTACGTAAGTAACGAATAATGCTGGGTAAACCAATNTGCCGCTGTTCGGGAAAATGAGCACGCACTCATTTCCCCGAAGGGGAAGATTAAAGACCGCACCTGGGAGACGGTGGAAATCGAGCCTATTTAAACAAAAAAAAAAACCTATTTGAAAAAAAAAAAAAAACGCCGACTACAGGTTGAAACAGAAAATATCTCTTCGAAAAAAAATACACAGACACATGCAAGCCTCTTTAAACACTAGCTTTGCCCAAATTTCTCGTGCAGCCCAAAGATTCTGAGTTGCCCAAAATTTGGGGGGGGGGGCTGCAGGCCCCCCCGGCCCGTACGCCTATGGTACTCCAGATGTCAGCATCTCAAGAACAGACTGATTGACATCCAGATTCAAAACATTAATTCATCAGCCGTAATCTGATATTTTTGTTTGTTTTTTGTTTTTGCCTCGCTGCCTGACCTAAGCACTTGACAGCATGACAGCAGTTACTTGATTTGTTCAAGCACGTAAGTTAGGGTATTGAAGGTTGCTCGCAAAGCTGCAACTGAGAGAAGGGGCAGGAAGTGTTAAGGACCTCAGCAATTTGGGTAAGAACTGAAAATAACTCTTAAGTTTTAATCAATACTATGGAAAATCTAGTTCATGCGACCTTCCTATGAAGAAGTGCGCTACAAATGCCTCTAGCGGAGTAACACTGGCATTTTAATTGGAGGAAATTCCTCCTGATTTATGACGCAGAATAAGACGGTCAAAACAATAAACTATAACAATAAACTCCGTAGTGCTGCACATACTTATAATTTTGATATTATGAGCGTAACAAAACTTGTTCAATTCAATTCAATTTCAATTTTCAATTAATTTATCGTTTTACAGCTTGGCTTCTACTGCTCACAGATAGGAACAGCGAGTCGATCAAGCAAGCAGTAATTTCACGCGGATTAATGAAAATCTTACAGGAAAATTATAGAGGAGAATTAACAAAACGCTTGCTACTTACAATGATAAGAGTGCTAAGATGAAAAATTACAACATCGAAATGGAAATAATAGTTTCTATGAAAGAAAACATGATTAATCTCGCCACAACAAATAAATAAATTACTAAGTTAAATAGCCATAATGCTGCAATAGATAAATATAACAGGGAAAAATATGCAAATACAAATAAATTAAGGCGAGCTGTTTCCATGATATTTAGGCCATCAGATCAGTTAACCCGATGTAGTTGTTCTGATAGAAACCCATTTCAATTTGTACATTGATCGGCGAACGGCAGTTGTAATCAGCACAGGCGTGAGATAATGGGATCATTCCATACCGGCGTAAAAGACAGGTTTTCAAAGGATTTAATTTGGCAATAATTCTTGATTAATCATCACTACCAAGTTGAATCGTTGAAGGTATTCGTACATCTGAAATGTGGAAAGGCTTCCTATTGCTTCCGTGTCAAAACAAAATCACAAATTTATTCGTGGTTTTAGCGCCCACAGAGTAACGTTGAAGTGACCACGAAAACACTTTATGGAATATATCATTGCAAGATTAGAAAATATTAAGCGTGTAAACAGAAAACATGATTTTCTCTAGGAATGTGGGCGTCCTAAAGCTGAACAGTTTCGTATTCTCTCTCGCTCACGCGCCGATAGATAAAACACCCTTTCTATTTCACATTCTTCACAGTTTTGCTATTTGACCCATGACTATAAAAAACTCGCAAGCGATGGCATACTGTCACGTAACCCCTCTGCAGGCAGCTTTATGGGCTTCCTGTATCTCACCGAGCGCGAGAGGATTGGACTGAGCAGGGAGCGCGAGAGTTGCCTGCCAAATATGAAGGGTTTCGACATGCACTGCGCATCTTACGACGTCACTACTACGCATCGACAAGGGATACATAGCGGGGGAGGGATAGTATCTATTAGGCTTACAATTTTTGAATGAGGATGCTATATAGGGGAGAAATTTTAACCCATGCAAAATGGCGGCGTCTTTCGATGGTTCGTATGAATAATAATAATAATAATAATAATAATAATAATAATAATAATTTGTATAGCGCAAATTCCATACAATGTTCAAATGCGCTTAAAACCCCGCGAACATTTCAAACTACAACATAAACTTTAAAGGAAAATTTATAGAGAAAGTGAAAGCAATTTCTTGCTATGAGACCGCAGTGAAGTTTTCTTTGATAGCGGAAACTGGCAACGGTGAGAATAATTTTGAGTTTGAGGTATTCGAAAATGACAATAAATGCAGGTATGTCTGCAACGTTGAAATCGAACAAAGTGGAAAGCCAGAAAGAGTATAGAAGAGTAGGTAAATACCACTGACACGGAAAAAAGAATTATACGCCAAGAAACGTTTATTGTTGAAAATCAGGAAAGTCAACGACTCGTAGAGGGTACGCTACAACATTTGCTCGGTTTCACTGAATTCCGTCCACTACAAAGAGAGACAATAAATTAATGCTACCATGAATGGTGAAAATGTTTTGACTATAGTTGGAACTGGTGGCGGAAAGTCAATTACCTTTCCTAGTAGTTCCACGAGGAGTTACTATCTTCTGTTTTCCAGTTGTCCCAAAAGCAAATCCTTGTAAACGATCATCACTTTGAGTAGAAGTATCGTTTGTAGCTTCACGTGGTGTCGTTGTTGAATTTTTTTTCGAAATCAGTTTTGTTGGGCTCAGTTCTTCCAACTGCTTCTTTAAGCACATTAATTTTGCTTCTCTTGCCTCGATTTCTATTTCTTTGTCTTTTACGCTTTTCAAAAGCTTTTTGTGTACCCAAAACTGCACATCGGAATTTCACTCCTTGTAACGCGTTTTCTTACAGTCCGTCATCTTCAGTGGTGATATTCGTGGTGTGATACTCGTCGGGGTATAGAGTGTCGCATTGTCAAACAAAAGCCTTCTCAGACCATCCGGCTCCCACAGCTGGTCTTGTAATGTGACACGGCTGGTCACAAGCCGTCGATATTTGGCGGGTAAACAAATCGCTTTCCGCGCTTTGCGCTCGCCTCAGTCCACCTCCCGCTTCGCGCTTGGTCCAGTCCTCTCGCCCTTGGCGCTCGGCGAGACAGGGAGAGAAAGTTTGCCTGCGGAGGAGGCTAACTGTTACGAACCATGCAGAACACAATAACTCCAGGTCGTTACCGGCCCAGGCAACATCCGATCCTTTTTTGTATGACTTCTTTTTCATTCTCTAAGTGTCTATCAGCCTTCGGTCCGCAGTTTTACTGTTATTTTTTTCAGCCGTGGCTTCGTTTGATAAATTCATTCACACATGCGTTTCCCATCATCATGGGTCTGGCTTTAGACCTGGCTGCAGTACAACTTGTAATCCTTTGAAAATCTTTGACCAGGCAACAATTTTTAGTATTTTATCATGTGTAATATTGGTTGATCCTTCATTTTTATTCGAAAATATAAAAAACATCCACAAAAATGCAACCGTCCCTTTGGGATATAACAAAATCGAGTGATGTAGCAAGTTGCAAAGTTATATAAGGGTCTCAATTGGGGGTTCACGTTGACGGTTGACGGTTGTAAAAAAGCCTTTTTGACGGTTGACGGTTTTATTTTAGGTCATTTGACGGTTGACGGTTAATATTTTAGAATTTCGTTAATAAAATGTTCTAAACGCGCGAATTTTGATGTAAATTTTCGATTGACGCGTTTGTAAAGAACTGTTAATTTATAACACCTTTCACTGATAAATGACTAGCATTTTACGACACCGAAAGTGTTTGCAGACCGGAAGTCAGTTCTGTCGTTACTCGCGACTAGAAGTTAGAGGACTTGCATAAATGCTTTTTTGTGATATATTAAAACTTTTATTTATAAACAACAGAACTTGACCCCTGAGACATTTGACGGTTAACGTTGGATTGATTATTTGACAGTTGACGGTAATATATAGATTTAGCCAAGCCTAAAGGCGGAGCTCCCAATTTCGTAATACTAATGATAACATAAAAGATGCGCATTTGCCAAGACTCGCCTGAGACACCCCTCCCTTCATGTTGATAGGCTCCCCTACCCTACCAATCTGAAGGCACGTACGTACACTCGGTCAGTCACGTGACAACCAAACGAAAAGAGGTTGACCATATTCCATGGGTATGAGGCTCTACCCCACGCGCGCGAAGCGCGCATGGGAGCCCCGCTAAAACTGTTGCGGTTTTAAAGGTTGACAGTTGATACTTTGGCCATTTTACGGTTGACGGTTAACTTCATTGAGGCCCTCTTAGATCATTTGTATAATTTGTTCTTAATCATACGATGCGTGACGCTGCCGACCCTGCATTCTTTGCGTTTGTCCATGCGTAGACGCTTGATTGCTGTCTCCGCAAACCGTGACGTTATTGCTTCAATAATAATCAGAAGCCTTGTTATCAGGATTCGTTCTGTTCTTCCGTCGACAACGGACGTTTCAGAGGGAGTAAGAGAGAGAATCCTGGTAACGAAATTGACCCTTCTCGCACGTTTCGAGTACAAAGAGCTCCTTTCCACCTCATTATAATTTTATCTCGATGCCCGCGTGTCTCTATTGAAATGGGACTCGAAGCTCTGCGTGACGTCGCACTAGTTTACTGACGAGATTGACGGGAGATAAAGTGATAACTGCTAATGTGGGATAAATTGGCCACAATTAGTGACGCGTCTATTTCACCCGACATCAAAAACATTGATATAATAAACATCAGGCAATCTCTTAAGCAAAGGTAGGACCCAGTATCGGCAAAGGGCTAAGTACGTATTAAAAGGCAACGAATGCCTGAGAAGAAGGCCGTAGCATAGGGAGGGGGCGGAAAAATTCTTCTACAGTACCGGAAATCTGTGTTCGGATGTTAACAAGATGGAAATGAAGGCGAGAAGGACCAGGAGAGAAACTGAACTTACTAATAATCTTGGTGCTATTTAATCTGACCTCATTTGATTGGCTTAAGTTCTATGATTGACAACGCTCCTTACCCCATGTAACGTTACACCTAAAATACATAGCTACGACGGGCCTGGAGATAAAATCACATTATGCTTATGTCATAATGTTGGTCTTTTTGTTTCTTACAGAGTCTTAGCCATGGGAAACAGCGTGGATTGTTATTACAACTCGCGCTGGACTTACCAGTGCATTTTCCCTTGCATTCGTTTTTGTACCTACACTGGACGCCGGGTCTTTTACAACTATGACGGAACGGAAAAGGTTCAACCACTCGTCGATATTTACCACCCCCAGAAAGGGCCCGTTCACCGTCTTCCAGGCACTTTTATTGGAATTGATGACGACCCCGAAATAAAAGATCAACTGCAAGGCCCTGGTGTGTACACAAACATTTCTCAGAGCTAAATGGAGTGAACTGTGGTTGACTGACTGAGAACGTACTGAGACCAACGAACTTAAGAACAATTAACTGGCGCTTTAATGACTGACTGACTAGCCTGGAGAACTCACTTTGAAACATACATATATCATTAATGCCACCATGAAAAAAAGTGTTTCTTGACGTATGGAATTGCTGAAGGTAAAAAGGCTGCAATTAATTTAATTAATCCGACTTTCTGATTAAACAGGGCTTGACGGTGCTGGTCAGATCGCGGCGTTGTGCAAGTATGCAGCGGACAATGGCTACACCATTCGCGCTGTGGGCACAGGTTCCTCTTGGTCTCGTCTCACCCACACTACAGACATACTCTTGGTCATGACAGATTTGAACGAAATCATTTCGAAATCGACTAATTCACAAACAGAGGATTCAGAACCAGAATCAACGGAATCGCAATATGAAGTCGAGGTGCAGGCCGGAAAACTCGTCGTAGATTTTGTCGAGGAACTGCACAAGAAACATAATCTGGCGCTCAAGATGATAGGTAATTACGCTGGCCAAACGGTTGGAGGAGTGGCGAGCACTTCCACTCATGGATCAGGATGGTTCAGTGGAACGATGGTAAGATTAAAAGATTGATCGAGCGGGAAGCAGATCGGGTCTATTTGCTTTAAACGCGAAGGCGCGCTATATAAAGAAGTCTTCCCTGGGAAGACCTAGGCTCATTTGTCACACACCGTTGACGTGTGCAGGTCAAATTCAAATGCTGGCAGAGGAACAAAAGGAGCTAATGAGATATCTATTGTTTACTTCCACTAGCATGGTGGTATGAGATAACGTGCGAACCACCTACTTCGATCTCAAATTTACCGCCACAAATAAAGACAGTTTCAATTGGAGAAAGGAAATACAAATCTCAAAAATTCTTGTATTGTGATGAAGACATAAAACAATTTTAAGGAATGCGCCCGCTGTTCACTGCTTTGGAGTAGCTGTAGCTCAAGCTGACTTGACTCTAAGAGTTCTACATCACACGACGGTTGATTGACAAATGGTCCAGTGGGACCTAAGGCTCCTTTTATAGTGCGCCTTCGTGTTTAAACGAAATTCAAATAATTGCATTATGAGGGAAATATTTAGGAAGACAACCGAACGACAAATGATTGACAATTTTGGCACAAATTGCAAGTAATGAACTTCAGAGACGCGCTAAAATATCTAAGATCCACATACCAACGCTCAAGCACTGTTCTGGTCACGTGACATTCTAAACATGGCAATATGCATTCAAAGTACAAAGCCTAAAGTACAAAAATTGCCGAATTGCATTTTTGAGACAATTCGACGAATTCCTATAGCCTAAATTTCCCAATGATGATTATCTAGGTCTTTCTACGACCAAGATTTACCTCCTCTTCAAAGGAAGGAACATGTCAGAAACTTGTTCAGGAAAACAACTTAACAATTCCTGTCTCGTTCCAGTCCACTTTAGTGGTAGGTCTTCATTTAATCGTACGTGGTGGAATCCAAGTGAAGGTACGAAGCGGCCCCGAAACCATTGCGGACTGCGAGGCAAAGATTTCCAGGGCCAAATATGGAGAGGTGCCCATCGAGATTAACAGTACTGAGGTGTTAAAGGCATGTCAAGTAGGCATAGGAAGTGTGGGGGTAATATATTCCATTACATACAGCTGTGTCCCCATGTACTATCTAAAGGAAACCAGACAAATGGTGCAGGTCTCTTGGCCTAAAGAGCCGACGGAAGACAACGACGACGATGCATTGATGGAGATGAATGATATCAGGGTTGTTCTTGAAAATTTCGCTGAAATGTACAAGAAAAAAGATGCGGAGTGTTTCTCGTTTTTCGTCAATCCATACCCAGTAGGGCCAAGGTAAGGCTTTAGGGTTATCAATAGTATTAATAGTGGTTGTAATGGTACAATACGATACAATATTCTTTATTTAACGAAGGTGACGTAATTAACTCAATGAGTTATCTAACTTGCGGCCTTCACAACAATACAAATCCACCACCCCGCCCCAGGGGAGGACATCCATCACACAGTAATCTCGTGTGTGGGAAATTAACATCTCTCTACCCCAAACCTGCAGGAGACGGGACCTCCATTTATTCGTTCCTATCCGAGAGGACTAGAATATAGAGCCATTTCTTGATGCTATAGAAAGGTAGAAAATTCTTCTCAATTATTTTAAGACCTTGAGTGTTGGTCCGGCCAGGGCTCGAACCCTCGACCTCCCGCACAACAGTCTAGCACACTATCCATCGGGTTAACTGGGCGGCGGTGAAGTGGAAGTGCTGTTGGTAGTTGTATGGTGAAGGTGGCGGTAATAGTAATGACAAGGGTGGCTGTATTTGTAAAGGAATTTGAGCTAAAAGTTGGAGTAATAGTGATGAGTGTGGAGATGGAACTGGTGATGGCGGTGGTGGTAGTACTGGCACTATTAATAATAGAAGGGGTGGTAATGATAGTGGTGGTTTTACCTAAATAAAAGGGGGATACCCCATGTAACGTTACACCTAAAATACATAGCTACGACGGGCCTGGAGATAAAATCACATTATGCTTATG